TTTCTCTTTTTGGGGTTTTTTGTTGTTCTCCCGCCCTGGCGGGGGGTCGGGCTAGAAGATCTACTAGGTCCCTTCCGACCCTTAATCTATGAATCTATGAATCTACACAAGATGCTTACTGCGCATTGGCTTAATAATACTGTGCAGTAGTACAGCAGTTAAAAACCTTGCTAATAGCCTACTGCTCAGTGTTATTAGGCTAATGTGCACTAAGTGTCACAAAATAATTGTGCTCCGGTGCTACTGCGCAGTAACGCTAATGACTGCCCATTTAGTTAATACTTCATTAAACAAGTATTAAACTAAATGGGCAGTAATTTAGGCACATTTATGAACATGTAGATGTGCCCACAGTGTCAAGAATATTTAGGCCAGTGGTTCTCAGTAGTGGTGCGCCGATACATAGGTCCAATATCAGCTCGACATTGATGTGGTTAGATTGGTGGATGAGTGCCTCTGCCCCTCCCTCACAAAACAGTATCTAATCAGCATCCCCCTTCATTCTCCCATCTGGGGAGTAGTGACTTTTTGATGGGAAATGTGGACTTACACCTTTCGAGAACTACACTCAATGTCATTTCACAAAGGATACCAAACATTTCCAACCAGTAAAGGCTTTTGGCCCTTATCTGAATCTGTTTTCTTTAAAATGGGCCCCTTCCTTATGTTTGGTTTACACAGTACTGTCAAAATACCGTTCAGTATGTTGTGTCTTCTGTTCTAATTGTTATTTATTTCCTTTGTTAATGCTGCCACTAACCAAAGGAGAAGGAAATCAAGTGAAGAATAAGCATATTGACATCTCACCCAAGAAAAATAGAAAAAAGTTGGCGGATCAAAGACTGAATTATAAGAAAGGGAAGCAGAACAGCTGATACAAATTAGTATTGGCTCATTAAGTAGAAGAAGTCTGCCAAGGAAAAACAGTACATATTATAAATCAGAAAGATGTTCCTTGTCATGTTCCTAACTAAGCAAAAGAACACTACTTGATGCTAACTGAAAGGCTTGGCAAAACTTGTAATCTGCCTCCCGAGCTTTGGGAATATGAGCTGGTCATTGCACAGTCAGACCTGGGGAGAAGTGATTCAAAAAAGGGATTTCATTTAATGATACATGAGAGAGAAGAATTGGGAACCACAAATTTAGGGCAGAAGATCTCAGACTGCAGAGATCTGTGAGTAGCTCTTCAGTGGTGCTTATTAGTGCACAGTAGTACAGTAGATTTGGTCCATGCCAGTCTCTCAGTACTACTTCTTGTTAATTGGTCTCTGCCATCAAATATGACAGTCACTTCAAATTTTATGCAATTCCTGCTTTCTTTCATTTCCTCTTGTCATGGTCATTAAATGGCTTATCAACTGTGGTACTAACATCACCCTTTCATTGCTCAATTGTGCAGTGTTCTACCACCTGCGGTCTGGGGGCTTTTTGGAGACACGTGGAATGTAGCAGTAAGAATGAGTCTGACTGTCAACATGTTAAAAAACCTGACCCTGCAAGAAGATGTTATCTCCGCCCATGTGCTAACTGGAAAACAGGAAACTGGAGTAAGGTAACATCATCCAGCATTGAGTACATTAGCAGTAAGTTCACTGACTTCAAAGATGAGGTATTTACGTTTAGACTTAAAACAACAATTTACTGATTGCTTGCACACATGATTCCCAGCTACCCCTTCTGCATTAATTTGCAGATTTCCTGGATAACGTAGTTATGGAAAATTTCATTCTCTTTGTGTGGTCTGCCTAATCTTTGCTGAAAACATCTGTTATAAATTCTGTTCTCTCTTATTTGTGAGTTTGGGGGTTATGGTCATTAAATCTTGCATTTCAAGATATGAGCAATAATAGCAATATCATCAGGAACCCTACAGCAAGACTCCTACGTGGTGTTATATATGGTTCCTCTCGTTTTTCTTGTGACTGTAAGCACATTTTCCAGCTACAGTACCAACATTAAAACTTTGCTACCAAGTTGTCTATGGGCCTGAACTAACATCCATCAAAGTCATAGTAGTCAGTTAAAGGAGACACTGAAGCATGGCCTAAAACAATCTTGTAAGCTTGCAGCCTGAACCCCAGAGAAATCCCTGCCTTACTTCAAAAACTGAAAGAAAATGCAGTTAAAAGGCTGCCTGTGACTGCTTTTATAGGGTCACATACCCTCCACCTTACCTGCACAATCTCTTGTCATGATACTCAAGACTCTTCAAGGTGATAAGCAAATAAAAATAACTAGATTTGAGGCCTTCCTTCCCCCAGTATAAAATGCATAAATATAGGGTGTTTCTACACATCATCCTGCATCGCTGTAGTAGCACACTATATCACCGTACAATGTGCTACGTAGCAATCACATGAGTCTACACGTGACCGGCAGCTACTTCGCCATAGCAGTGTGCTTCCACATTTTAGCACACTGCTATGGTGAACTAGCCACTAAAACTAACTGTGCACCATGTGCATGGCACAGTATGGGCAGTTACTGTGCCATGCTTTAGTACTTCCAATCCAAAAAGGAGTACTAAAGCATGATGCAGTAACAATGATGTTGTAAGGCAATTTATAGACACACCCATAAGGCCTGAAAGATGGTGTTTAGTTAAAGCTGAGTATTTTTGGTTTCAAATCACTGAAAAAATGCTTTTCTAAATACCATACTTTTACCAAAGTGCTAACAGAACATTGAATCATAAATACAGTAATATTGTTTCAATAGTGGAGAAGAAAAGCAGGTCTTGGGAACGCTGTATATTCTGTTCTGTAGGAAATGACATTGCCAGTGACGTAAAGGCAGATTCATAGAGAGATCTCCAGAAAGGTTGACTCACTATTGTTAATGCAATTGTATCATACCAAGAAGCCTTTTAATATATGATTTGTATAGGAAATCCCATGCCAGGCCAATGAACCACTTAATATCACTTGAACCTCAAAATAAGGTTTAGCTAGAGAACTGTGCAATGCCTAGACCTACTGAAAATCCTCTGGACAATGATGAATTTTGCCTCGCTTTCCTTCAAAAAAATTACTTCCTTTACAACAAGCAAACAATGGCTGTACCACAGCCATTGATTTTAATTATAAAATACTGTGGACAATGGGTAAGTCAGAGATGAGTCCGACTATGTACCTAAAGTGAGTTAAAAGCTTGTTTGAATTAGATCCCTATCATGTTAGATCCTTATTATCCCAGGAATATATTTTTGTTTGCTGATGTAAATTTTTTACAAGCAGTTGCGATGGTTTTTACTATTTGTTATTATAAATGTTTATACTAAAAATCCAGCAACATGCCCATCACAGAAGTATTATTGTACTGTACTGCTTTCCTGTCTAAGGAAGATGATGATTGTGGTTGCTATTATCTGAATGAAGTACTTTCTTTGATTAAAGAAGAATGCATATTATTTTGAGAAATGAACCTTCATGTTGCTAGGAGCTTAATACAATATATTAGGTAGCCTGAGCTTCCACCAGTTTGGGAGCTGAGGGAACTCAGTACCTTTTAAAAACCAACTCTAATGGCACAGGATCAAGTATATACAAAAATACAGACCACTGTTCCATTCTGCCTTTGAGAATAACCAATGTTACTGGGTATTTTAGAGGAAGATGCAAAATCCCAATGATACCATGTTTTTTTTCTACCTTCTGGTAGAAGTTTCCTTCAAATAGGGCTGGGTAATTTTTCCTAGCAAATAATTTGTTTGCTAAAAGACACAGTTTTAGTCCTCTTTTGAGTTTTTTGGGGTTGAATACACCAAATATTTTCAGCTTGAATAAAACTTGAAATGCCTCCAAACAGGGGTCAGTAAGACTAAAGTTAACATGTGACTGGGGATGCTTCAACAATTTAAACACCACGTATGAATGTGAAGGACACTTTCAAACTACAGAACACCCTGCCCATGTGGACGGAAACCATGCAGCAGTGAGGACCTCGCTAAGGTTACAGATCAAACAATAGTATTTGCCCATTTCTGGACCCAGATTTGAACATGGTGACAGGATATGGGAAGATGCAGCAGCTTGAAAAAACTATGGGGCCTGAAGGTTAAATTAACAGAAACACGGGTGGATCCAGGAGCAGAGTGAAGGGGTACGGCTGCACTCCCTTCTGCTGTGCAGTACGTGTGCAATGGGTCTCCGACCTCCCAGCTGGTCAGCATAGGCTCTAGCATGAGCTCACCTCCTTCCTGCTGAATTAGGGGCAGAGGAAAAGTAGGAGGTGAACAGCAGTTGTGCTGATGCCCTGGGCTCCAGAGCTGCACACCAACCAGCTTGTGAGCTCATGCAGCTCACTGAGCATGCAGTGTACAGCGAAAGCAGGGTGTGACTATACCACTGCCCCTGCCTAGATCCACTCCTGCACAGAAATAATGATGGCAGCATTAGCCACCCTTTATCCAGTAAGTGAGCGATTGGAGCACTCACCCAGGCTGTGGGAGGTTCAGGCTAATTTCTTCCCACTGCCTGAGGAGATTTGAACCTGTATCACAGGAGTGCCCTGCCAGTAGTCTTTCCTCTTGGTGTTGTTCCATTTCCCACAAATATATTAGAAGAATGATTTGAACCAAGATCACCCTAGAGCATCTCTCAGCCTAGAGCATATTCTGACCACGCACCTGTTTTGTATTCGGAGATGGAGCTCCCTCAATAGGACCTTATTTGAGCTGAGTCATGTTGGATAAAATATTTAATAGTTATTGAGACAAGGAGTGAGAGAGGACACAAGAGCCAGAAGGCCTCTAATGCAGTGGTTAAGAAGAAACATGATAATATCTTCTTCTGGCAGTTCTGTGAATTTGCCTTTATTTTCCCTTATATGGAACATTTCTCTCAATAGGAGACAAAATCCTGGGTTTTGTTTGTATTTCAGTTCAATCTCACCTTCAATTGTCTGTTCCTCCCCCTGCCACCACCCCCGCAAAAAAAATTCAATTCAGTTGCTGAACTAAAAAGAAAAAATCTATTATTCGCACAGCCTTCCCACAAGACCCTGATTGGCAGTTAGCTTATTTCTTCCTTACAGCACAAAGGTACTTTAAAATATGCTTGCTTGAGCATCCGTTTTTTATTAT